CTAATACATGCGGACCTGAAAGAGCCAGTGTTTGGAGTTGGTGTCGATATTTTATAGCAGTCAGAATTGAGGGCACACACACACACACACACACACACACACACACACACACACACACACACACACACACACACACACACACACACACACACACACACACACACACAGTAAACTTTCCACTTATCCACTTATCTCTAAGACGCCACAAGGCTTGAACAAAATGAAATTATCTGACACTATGAGATAAGTAGAGCAGGTTGGTTAACTGCAGGATGTGAACATTTCTCAGGGTAGAACAGAGACATTGTGACATTTTATACCCCAGAGAAAAAAAGTCACAGCACTGTGATGGTCTTTTAAAACCCTATTCAGAGTGTTACCTAAAACCACACTTTAACATCTAAATTGGTGATACCTTAGGCAGACAGTTACAGTAAATGAAATTGTCTGGTTCACAGGATTATTGATGAGTCTCAGGCATTTCATGTTATATTTTATCCACCAGCATCTAGTCTTACCCAAGAGACAGCCTCAATAGTCTCAATTTTGTGAAGCCAACCAGGATTTGACAAAAATTGCAGTTCACCCCACATCCACTAGGGGCTGGCTCCAAAACAGCAAGTTCTCATTGGCTCCATGTTAAAAATACCAACTTTACAGCAGAAATGAACATGTTTACACACACACACACACACACACACACACACACACACACACACACACACACACACACACACACACACACACACACACACACACACACACACACACACACACACACACACACACACACACACACACTTTAGGTTTAATCAATCTAGTTAACGTTCAGGACAACTCTGACAGGGGGTGGATTTTTTTTTGTAACTCTTCCATTTATGTGCAATTAAATGCTTAAAACTATGAATAATCAGATTTGACTGACAGGTAGCAAGAGCATCAGAGCTAGCATTAGCAGCCAGCTCTGGGGAAGGCCTCAGTCTGAGACTCACGTTAATGGATATTCAGCCATTTCCACTCTCTGAACTCTGGTTTTGTCCTCAGCATGTTCGTGTTTGGATGTTAATCATGGAAATATTTGGACAAAGAGGGCAAGCTGTGGTTATTAACTGCACTAACAGATCATCCAAGAAGTCTCTGCTTCATTTTTATCAGTAAGTAAAATCATGTTTCTGTACATTATTTCGCTGGTTGAATGGGGGAGATGTTGTGCATTTAGCACAGTGCTGCTAGGTCAAAATGAGCTGGGGTCTCATTTATCAAACATTGCGTAGAATCCTTCCTAAAACCGTACTTAAGCTCAGCAAAAAAATTTACTTACCCCAAGTAGGTTTGTGATCTATCAAACATGGAGTACGCACAGCTGCAGGCAATCTCCGCTTCATAAATCGGAGACTAACAAGAATGTTTCTCAGCTGCTTTTTTGTCACATCCCGCCCTCACCACGCCCACTTACTGCCATAAGTAGTCGATGCAAAGTGCCTTGTCGATCTCATGCATATACATAAGCCGGCTGTTGCAGCACTCCACCAATGACGGTGGCGACCGTAAATCAAGGAAGCGCAATTTCACAGAAGCAGAAATTGAGGTACTTGTGGGTGAGGTGGAGAAATGAAAGGAAGTGCTTTTGCAAAACAAATAAGAGAAAATCCACGGAGTGGCACAGCGTTGCTGAAGCCGTCATTGTTGTGAATTCTTCAGAGAGATCTGTGGCGGATATAAAAAAAATGGTCCAATCAGGATTTGATCCCCAGACTCCTAGGTGAAAATCACACACACTAACCAGTCACCCAAAGGGAGATCTCCCCTGTACAAGTAGCCAGGGTGCATGATCCATTGGATCACAGTGACAGAACACACACACTGTCACAGACGCATGACATTCTGTCTCAATCTGTCCCCCTTGCTGACATTCTGCATTCCGTATTCTGCGCTTCAGGCTGTGTGTGTGTGTGTGTGTGTGTGTGTGTGTGTGTGTGTGCGCACACCCGTGCATGTGGGGGGTCTTGTTCTGTGTGAAAACGAAGCAGTACAAGTGATAATGCTGCAGGATTTCATAATTTTATCCTCAGCAGCAGCACTGCAGGTGCTCTCCATGTCCAAAATGTGCATAAGCCAGGTCCTTAGTCAACTTAAACTTGTGCACATTTTTCCGCTACGTTTTCTTTCATAAATCCCAAAGTTTGTGTGGAAAGTTGCTTACGCAGTTTTCCGACCCCGTTTTGTGCGTAAGCAAGCTTGATAAATGAGGCCCCTGAACTGTTGAAAAAGCCAGCATGTGTCGGGCTTTGGATGCTGGTCTAGCTTGTGATGCTAGTCCACCATGGGATGCTGCTATTTGGATACTGGACCAGCATGCTAGACCAGCATCCCATCCTGGACCAGCATCCAGGACCAGAATTCAATTAACATGCTGGACTAAGGTCACAAGCTGGACCAGCATACCAGCATCCAAAGCCCAGCACATGCTGGCTTTTTCAGCAGTAGGGCTGGGTACTGAGACTCACTGTGTCCCTGTGGTACAGGGCCGTCGCACCGCCAGGGGTTCTGACTGCTACCCGAGTCCACTGCGGTCAGAGCCCCGCCACAGTGGCGGCCCCACTGATCACCGACCACTGCAGAGGAGTGAAGTGTATGCTCGTGCAGCCTTGGCGCCTGGCTCCGACTGCTTCAGTTTGAGGCTGTGCTTGTAGCCTGTGGAGCATTCTGAGGGAGACCACAGAAACTCTGCAGTTCAGTGAGTTTATGCGTGCTTCACGTTAGAGTCACTCAGCTGCATTACTGAGATCCTCAAAATTCTGCTCTCAGCTCCTCCTCTTTGAAGCCTAAGAAACCTATAGGTGACGTCACGGAGGGTTTGTCCATCTTTTATACTGTCGTTGGTTTTACCTCAGAAAGACGGGAAGACACAGGTGTGTTTACGAGGGCTGCATTCCACTTCTACAGCTATGCATGCTGGATGTTCTGCAGAAACTACTCTAAATGGAATGCAGCCAGTAAGTCCTATCACTTCTGATTTGTTATCATCACTGGAAGCTTTTTTAAAATTATTTATTTGTTTATTTATTTAGAAAAAATGTGGGAAATCCCAAACATCAGCCCAGCAGGTGGTAAAATATTTTATTTATAATAATAATAATAATAATAATAATAATAATAATAATAATAATAATAAAAGATGATTCAACAATCTGATTTATTACTAAATAAAACCTCACAAGAAGCTTTAAAATGTTATGAAATTAAAAAACATCCACCTCCATCGAGGTTATCTAGAATATAACATCTGCCAGTGTGCCCCAGGGCAACTGTAGCTCACCACCATCAGCGTGTGAATGGATGAATGATACACTGTTGTGTAAAGCACTTTGGAGTCCTCTGAAAGGTGCTATACAAACTGCAGGTTATTTATCATAACACACTCCAATCACTATAAATTATAAATCCAGTTCTTGATGCATAAACAGTAAAAGTCACTAAGACATGTCACCCAGAGAAACACGCTCAGTTGCTGTACTATCTCTCGCCAAGAGGACTCAATAAACTCACCATTAGAGGCCAATATGTCTGAATCAGTGTACATTTCCTCTGGTCCTTTGTCTCCCTAAAGCAGAGGGAAGCCTCAGCTGTGTGGCACTTTATTAGGCCAATAGTGAAGCCCTAAAGCTCGTCTGACTGGTTTCTCCAGATGAAATTCGCCTGCAGGATGAAGATGAGCTAAAATTTAGACAGAAGTATGGAGCTGGGTGGAAACAGGAGTGTGACAGAAGTGATGAATCATCGTGCAGTTATTCCTTTCTGAATTTAATCATCCACTTCTTTTTATTTATATTTCACCCTAGATCTGGACACAAATTAAATAAAAATAACTTCAGCTTTAAAATAACAGAGTTCATCCAACAAATGAACTCTAGCACCCTTGAGAAAAGTCCCTCTGCAAATCTGCGTAGAAAATGAAAGACTGCATGTACATAATTGATTTATTAAAACAAAATGTTTACAGATTTTCCCTGCAGCAGATGCTGAAATCATTTGAACTTGAGAAAGGACCTTGTTTCTTACAGCAGAATGGTGCCAAAGTCACATTGTGCACGTCTTACAACAGCATGGTTCGGTTGTGTAAGAGTTCAGCTGCTAAAACTGGCCTGTCAGCCTTCTGCATCGGTTACTCTCTGAAAGTGTGTGGGTTTTACTAAACAGTAAATAAGAACCCAACGTGTTAAACAGCTGGAATTGTATATATCAAGCAATAAAATAAAATAAAATAAAAATTAGCAATAAAAAGTGTTAAGTTTCTTTTTAATTTGTTTAGATGTAGTGAAATAAATCTTCACAGTTGCAGAGGGATGAACAAACTCTTTAATCTGTAGTTTATTTATTGACTTACTTGGAATTTTATTTCATGCATGAATTTTTTATACATACTTGCTGAGAAACCCGAGGATTTGTTTTTGAAAGTAGTGAATAAATCTTCAAATTTTTGTGGCATAAAAGAAACATTTTAGAAGCTCAGATAATTAAAAATCCAAAAATGTTGCTTTAAATATTTTTATCAACCTCATAAATAATGCATTGAACTTATATAGCGCTTTTCAAGACACCCAAAGATGCTTTCACACACTCTCACATTCACACACTGCTGGTGATGGTAAGCTACTTGTAGCCACAGCCGCCCTGGGGAGGTCTGACAGAGGCGAGGCTGCCATTTGGCGCCGTCGGCCCCTCTGACCACCACTAACACAGGCAAGTTGGGTGAAGTGTCTTGCCCAAGGACACAACAGCAGGTTACCCCTGGCGGGAGCTGGAATCGCACCCATGACCCTCCGATCATGAGGCAACCCGCTCTACCACCTGAGCTACTGCTGCCCCATAAAGGTGACCTTTTTGTGCGATTTAGTCTGAATGTATTCATTAATAATAAAATATTAATACACTCACTTTTGATTATAAAACTCGATTGCGCACAAAGAAATTCAGAAGTTTTAAAAACGACGCAAACATTCCTGCAGCCAAATGGTAAAGTTTTAATCCATTAACATACGTACAATGAAAAATAAAACTGGCACCTCAAATAAAAACCACGCAGCACTTTTACACTAATTTTGTTCCCGTTCAGATGAATGTGACCACAGCCACATTTATACTCTTATTGAGAACATAACAAACATTCCAGCTCTCAAAATTGCCCTTTGTCCCCCAAAAAAATAAAATAAACCCACACTGTGCACATCTCCACCTCATACCACCAAGACCTTCTGTTTCTAAACTAGTTAACAGACACAAGCTCTGCTCACTCTGAGAAATACTCTGAGAAATAAAACAACCTCGAGTGTGACATGTGACGGAGGACCCAGATAAATATAAACATTCTTATTGTCAGTTTAGATGACCCTGAGCAATAATCAGTGTAAACATTTCTACATTCGCTCCAAACCAAGAAAATAAATACGAGCTCCACGTGTCACGTTCTCCAGCCTCACCAAGCGAGCACACATTTTAGTTTTATAGGCATGCTGGTGTTCTCGTTTACATACTGGACATTTTTGTGCATAAACATGGCACCAACTCCTCTCTGAAGCATCACAGACTCCAACATTGCTATATATATTTTTTTATCTTTAATAGATAACAATAGGTCTGTAATAGAAATTTATTTCAAATGTAGTCATATCATTAACTTAGATTGCATTCCAGCAGCAGATATGTGGGGAGGTGGACAGCTGCATGAAGCAAGGAGACAGTCGTTGTGCTAAGGGAACGACAGTGAGCAGCAGAGGCCATTCTGAGCCAGACTCTGGATCAGTCTGCACCATTCTGCCCTCTTCTGGGTAATGTAGGCTGGGGTGATGAGTTGCACAGGAAGGTGCGGCGAGCCTTCCAACCTGACCTTCTCGCACAAGGCCTCGGCGATGCAGATAACGTACATGCCGCAGTCATAACTGTTCTGCTGCGATGGGCAGAGCTCCTCCACGAAGAGAGCTTTTCTCCCGGCACCCAGGAACGGCTCCAGTTTGGTGGCGATACGTCGTGCGTGAAGCGAATTGCTGCCGTTTAGAGAGTCATAGTGCCCAAAGTGGTTGGAGTTGTGATGGTAGAGCAAAAGGCTCCAATGGGATCCTCCAGCCGTCTGGCTGGAGTTGTCGTTGACAGCTAAGAAGACCCAGCGGCGAGAATTAAGATCCAGCGGCTCCAGGAAGATGGCTAGCTCATCAGGACAAGAGGCACACTTGATGAACTGGGTGACTTCAGGGCTGATGAAGATGATGGAGTCCCTGAGGATTCTGAAGCGTTCGTTAGCAAAATATTCAAAGGCAAAGCCAATCACTTGGTCATTCAGCCAGTGAGGTCCTTCCAGTAAGGAAAAGTCAGAGCGCCGCAGAAGGCTGTCCTGGTAGCTCAGCACTACAGGATCCATCGTCCAGCACAGAGTGTGTCCGTCTGGAACATAAATAAATACATTAATCCTATTTTTCAAATCAAAACAAGAAGACACTATTATACATTAATATCTCAGTTTTATGTGTTTAACTTTAGTTTTTCACTCTGTTTTATTGACTTTGACTAAGCTGCGCTTTCATCAACGTTCCTATTTATAGTTTGGCAAACCAACTTTGCCATATTTTTATGTGTCTGTTTCATGTCTAAAAGTCAAAGGTCAAGGCTGAGTTTGGAGAAAGATTATTTCTACCAGGACTGATGAGCGAATAGCCACAGCAGGACCACAGCCTAGGTGGATTACTGCCATTAAATAACTCATCTCAAAAATGTCATCTGTAACATTTTAGGTCAGAATTCTGTATTTCTGCTAGAATAACTGTTAATTGTTATAAGATTTTCAGTTTGCATGTGGGCCCACTGTGGCTAACTGTTAAGAGAAAATTATCCAAAAATCTAAACTCTGTTTCTCCAAACTGAGGCTCTTCACAGAGTTAGGCGATCTCACCTGTTATTACAGACATGTGCTGTCCCTTTAAGTGATTAATTTTAATAAAAGACTAACTCTGATGTTTGTTTTTCACCAGGGATGACCGTGAATATTAACTCTAACGTGTATTTATTTATTTTTATTTTAAACCCAACAATCCAAGTCCTTAAAAATCAACAAACCTATGTTTAAAAGGGTCATATTGATTTGTTCCAGCAGTAAAATCACTTTAGCTAAAAGTCACCCGAAGCACGAGGACGGAAGCATTGATTATTTAATCAATGACACACAGATGGAGCGGTGTTAAAGTTTTACCGAACAAAATCACTTCACAATCCTTCAAACTTTACAGGAGTCATCAGTTTTAGATCTGCTGATCCTAAAACGGGACTTCGTTTATGAACAGATTGCTGTTGTCGCACATTTAGACGGCTGTTTCCTGGTCCGTGAGTTGACTCACTGCGGAGTTTCGCATTGCAGCAATGCGTTTAGTTCATCATTTTTTGTTGGCAGGCAGTTAACCACCAAGGCAGTCGTGCATTAGCATTAGCTAGCCAACCGTTACATTCATCATCCAACTAAAGTAATTACCCGTCTCAGTAAAGGAACACACACAGAACGCTTATAAAACACAGCACGCGTAGTTCTTTCTCTGTCCCTACCTGTAAAAGACACATCTAAATAAGAAAAAAGGCGAAGGCAGCAGTCTTGTCCCTCATTGCATTAACTGTCATAAACCGTAAATATTTTACGATCGCGAGGAGACAATCTCGCCTCTGATTGGCTGCTTTCATCCAAGTTCCTGCGTAGTAGTAGTCCAACTGCGAGGATAACATTTTTTGCTAGTACACGTAAGCACTTAAAAATCATCAGAGCTTAAATTCGACGCTTTGACGAAATAAAATATTAGCGTATATCGATGTAACATATTAGAGTATTTAGCAAAAATAAATTTCAAGGTGAAAATTAAGTCCCGTGTTACAACTATCCCTAATCTAAAACAATGAGCGTGCCATTGGTGGCTGGCTTCGGTTTAATTCGGTGTTCACTTCCTGTTGTTGCTCCGTCCTACCGTTGGGCTTTTCTCTCCGCCCACAAAGCAGCAAGAACGCGCACCGCTGCGCGCCTGCGACTGGCCGCACTGATTAACAAGGCAAAGACGAGTTTTCAGCGAGCGAGCTGCGGAAGGCTGTTTTTAAATTACATTCAAACCGTGGACACGCACGGATTAAAGAAAAGATGCAGGACTGTTCGCTGCGGATTTGAACCTCTAGCAGTCTGTCGGCGAGCGACCGAAGAACGGAGGAAAAAAAAGAAGCAATTATTTCGTGGGAATACAGAGACAAATAATCATTTTGCTGGGCCACAAGTGTGTGCGGCTGTGCAACTAACAAGCCTGTCAGGAGAAGAAAAAGCCTGGGCTCCTAATTAACTTCAGCTCACGTCTGGAGGTAAGAGGAGATGTCTGGTGGCGGTGGGCTGTCCATCCAGCTCTGGGGCGTCAGGCGTTACTTTGGGCTGGAAGCAACCGATGGATGTATGAATCACGTTAGTCTTTGTTTGGGAACTAGTTCTTAAGCCGCACTCATCTGCAACATTGTTTCAGTTGTCATTCATTTAAGGGTGTGTGTGAAGCCTGTCGGTGCTTTTATTAAACTAGTAATCATAGCTAAAGGTGTGTGTGTGTGTGTGTGTGTGTGTGTGTGTGTGTGTGTGTGTGTGAGAGAGAGATATGTGACACATTTAAACGTTCAAACAGCTGCTCAATGATTTACATCAAACATACATGGTACATGATTTACATTATTGGCTACAAAACAATCCCGTAATGCAATAATAATAGAATACATTTACACCCTGATCTGCGTTAACCCGCGTCACGTTAGCTCTTAAACCACGTTTGAGCTAAAACAAACAACATTGGTTTATTTTTAGCAATCAGACTATATTATGCATTATAAAAAACAAGACATGCAAGGTAGACTAAACATCAGTGCTCTCACAGGATGATGCAGCAAAATGCTCAGGAACAACAAAGCAGAAACCTGAGTTATCTGTAGCAGTCCTTTGGGGGGCGCGGGGGGGGGGGGGGGGGGGGGGGGGGTCGTTTGCATGTAATATTTAGTGGAGGTCACACTGTACAGTTCATAAGGCAGCATCCTTCAGAGCAGCTATGGATGTGAGGAGGTCCAGTGAGGTGAAGAAGATGCTGAATCATGGGCACATCTCAGCCTGTCAGTAGGCAAAGTTGACATCATTTTTACAGCACTTTGCATCCTGCATTAATGTACCACGATAGGTTTGACTTTCAGCCTGCGTGGTGTCATTTTATTAATAATTTAGGGGCGTTTTCCACCAGTTTGTGTCTTTGTGTGTGCTGATTTCTTGACGTCACTGAAGACTTGGAAAATAGGACAGAAGCAGCACATGATCCCCAGCAGGAACAAAACTGAGAATATTTCTTTCTGTAAACTGACCCATAAAGCTCCAGGGACCCCCCCCCCCCCCACACACACACACACACACACACACACTGACCGTTACGTAATGCCCCTATTACATTTAAATCTGCATTACTGAGCTTCTTACAGATGAACACTTTGCGATTGATGAGAAGGAAGTAAGCTCATCTGTTGTATTTTGTATGACTAAAAAAAGCGTGGGGGACAAAAACGACCTTGTAGCTGTGAGGTTTCTCTTCGAGCTCGTCCCTCCCTCAGATCAGCACAGGTGATGAGAGTGGAGTTGGTCTGTCCTGCAGGAATGTGAGCTCTGAGAAGACACAGCTGCAGGAAGCATGAGAGGCGGCCTGGGCCCAGACTCCAGCAACTGGCCCCCGTTGACATCTGACACCCCACAGGCCCTCTTGTCTGCTGTTCCTAAAAGACAGCCCTCGGTTTTCTATCACATCGGGGTGTATGAACGATATCCCAGACACCACCTGGGAGACAGACGCCGTAGGCTCAGAAGATGGGAAAACTCTGATTTGAGTCTTTGTTGTGGAAAGAACTCGTCTCTGTGCTTGGAGAAGAACTTTTCCCAATGTTTTATGAACTTTTGCGTAACGAAATCTCAAAAACTGGGTTTTGTTTTGACAGATTAATTTCAGTACAGCACAAATCAGAGCTAAAACAGTCTCTTTCTGTGACAAACGTGTTTTTAGAGAAAAGTGTAACTAAAGAAGAAGTTTAGGTGGTGCAGAGATGACGATACTGTGAAGATCATGTTACTTTTTTGTTGACCATATTAAGAAAGTGCAATAAAACCCTTATTGATAACAGGGATACTTTTACCAGTTTCCCACAAGACCTTGTTTATGCACAACCCCTTGGTACTTCTAAGGATTGTTTTAGCAACATTTCCTATTGTTAGCCAACTGGGAGCCTTTAGGAATGTTTCAGGCTCTTCTGTTGAATCAAACACGTTATTTGTGCACACAGTAGCTTTACTTTGAGTACATTCTTTACGAATCAAGCATGAGGAACATGACGAGACTGCCAATGTTTAGTATCTGATGTAACAAAAAGGCTTTAGGGTGTTAGCGATTTCAGGTTCTGCTACTTTTTACGTCCTGTTCTGCTTTTCTGTTAGACGTAATGATGCAAAATCCCGATCATCGCTGACTGAAGATGTTATGCTTTTTTTGAAGGTAGCTGTAATATCAAAAGGAATGTAACTCTATACGTATCATTTGATATGCCTTTAATTCTAAAATGTGTGTTAAATTGGAAGAAATGATTAGTGCTGAGTTAGTTAAAATATCTAGAACCTTTTAAATAGAAATAGGCAGGGCTGGGACGATAATCAATTAATCAGTTAATCGTACGATAGATGAAAATGAACTCAGTAATTTTTCCAGCCTTGATATATCGGTCTTTGCTAGACACGTGACCTGCATGTCAACCACATCCCCTTAGCGCCATTTTTGGTGTATGACTCACATTGCTCGGG